TCACAGTTTGAGGCTAAATCACATTGAAATTGATGCAAGTTCTAGTTCACTAACGTATACAGGCTGATTCAAATTTGAGGGGATGGGGATTTCGGGAACTGTACTTTTGATGCTTAACAAAATGCAGTTTTGAAATTGAAAAAATTACGTCTACTTTCGGAGATCTCCGGAAAAAACCGAAATTTTTAAAAATCGTTTTTATTTTTTACTGAACTAAAAAGATATTTCGAAATAAATGATACATTATTATGACCACTTTTATCCCGCTACAAGATGCTACTTTTAAATTTTAAGTTTGACGTTTCGTCTCCAGTCATCACAGTCAGTCAAACATGTGACGTCATTGTATGATTTTTCTGGATAACTAGAGGGAAATGAAAATGATTTGGTTATTTGAAGTGATTTTGGTGCATTAAGAATTTTTGTAGAGAATTTAATAAGCTGTCATATGATAAAATAATATACAGGACGTTCCATACAAAAAAAGTAACATTTTTAATAATAATGATAATATGAACTGAATATGAACACGCCACTGCGGTATTTTTTGATATTAAAAAAGCGTACGACACAGTATGGAAATACGGAGTTCTAGAAACACTGCATAGGTGGGAGTTCCGGGATCACTTGCCAATATTTATCGAAAATTTTCTAAAAGATAGAAGAATACAAGTTAGGATGGGTGAACATTTATCGCAGATCGTTACGCAAGAGAACGGGATACCCCAGGGCTCGGTGCTCAGTGTTACCTTGTTTGCTATAGCAATAAACAACATAGCAGACGCAATCTCCATAGACACAAAGGCCTTATTGTATGTCGACGACTTATGTATAGTAAGAACTGGCCATAATGTTAACAGCATGTATGAGGCACTGCAGATGGATATAAATATATTAAGTGAAGAGGCTACGAAGCGAGGGTTCGCTTTCTCCACAAACAAAACAAAGGCAATGCACTTCTGCCGTCTCAGGAAGACCCACCAACTTCCACCCCTATATCTACAAGGTGACAAATTACCCACAACTGAAAATTTAAAATTTTTGGGGTTAATACTGGACACAAAGCTTACCTGGAAACATCACATTGAAGCAATATCATCAAAATGCAAACTTACTCTAAACAGGATTAGGGTGCTCAGTGGACATACCTGGGGAGCGGACAAGGAAACGCTCACAAAGGTAGTCAACGCCTTCATTAGGAGTAAGTTGGAATATGGGTCGGTGGTATACACATCGGCGGCCAGATCCCAACTTAAAAGTATAGAAGGGGTGTGGAACAAAGCCATGCTATTAATAACGGGGGCATACCGCACATCACCAATAGACAGCCTTAATGTCGAAAATGATTCGTTACCCATTTACTTGAGATTCAAGCAGCAACACCTTAGGTATGCGGTAAAGTTACTTGCACAACCATCCCATTTCTTATTTGAAGTTATCAAAAACCCCATACTACACCCCAGATACGAATGGCAACAGACCAGAACTATACCGGCAATTGTGAAATCAAATAACACCAGCAAAAAATAAACATAAAATCGGCAAGTTTCGGTTTTTTTTCGGAAGTAATCGGAATTCTTTTCTTTTCTCTAAAGCACGATAATAATGGTTTAATTGCGCATCTTTTCTCTAATTTGACCATCATCGTATCTTCTAGGGTTTCGATCTCCATGATACACATTCATACCAGCGTGTAAAGCAATCTTATATTGCGGGGTTGTAACTTGACGTAGTACACAGAACTTTTTTATTTATTTAATAGATTATGTTTACATAATCTGTAACCAACCCTTAAACAACCCTTTAATAATAAATTTCCGTCTAAGTTTGCGAAATTTTTTAAATCATTCATAGCAGCATGTAAAGCAATCTTATATTACGGGGGTTGTAACTTTACGCAGTACACCGAACATTATTGTTCTTTGATAGATTATGTTTAAATAATCTGTAACCAACCCTTAAACAACACTTTAATAATACATTTCCGTCTGCTTCAAGTTTGCGAAATTTTTTAGGTCATTCATACCTGCATGTAAAGCACTCTTATATTGCCGGGGTTGTTATTTTACGTAGTACACCGTACATTTTTGTTTCTTTGATAGATTATGTTTAAATAATCTGTAACCAACCCGTAAACAACCCTTTAATAATAAATTTCCGGCTGCTTCAAGTTTGCGAAATTTTTTAAAGTCATTCATACCAGCTTGTAAAGCACTCTTATGTTGCGGAGGTTGTTACTTTACGTAGTACACTGTACATTTTTGTTTCTTTAATAGATTATGCTTATCTTGGACACTCTTTCCAAGCGAGAGAAAGCCCGTACCAATGAGTACCTCATCGTACCCACTGTAGTTTATAGTAAATCTTAAATTACTTCTTAAACTTTTGGTAAATTTAATCCCTTTATGGCTTAATTGTATGTTGAGTCGTCCTCAGAGGCACAGGTTGGAATGAATTTTGTAGTCACGGCAAACCTTGCCCTTTTTATAAATAGAATTTGCGGACATGTTTTTAAAGCAACTGCAGATGTAGGGTAGGTATGTACGAATTTATATTTTATATCTTGACGATTATTTTCCTAAATTAATTAGGCTAAGAGTTTCCTATTTGCTTGGCTTAGAGAGCGTCACATGTTTAGATAATGCAAGCACAACAAAAAAAAGAACTATCTTATTTGATGCGCGTAAATAAAATTTGAAACAGGCTGTATACCTATACATATAACCAAAAAAAAGGTAAGGTTTTGTACCACGAGTTATTAACCATCTTAGGAGCAACTACTACAAGTGAACGAGTCAGCAAGCAGCGTGGAGGTGTCAATTTCTTCCCTATACATTGTGAAACATCACAAAGGATATTAGTGTTCCTCTAGGTCAAATATTAACACCAGAATAGAAATGTTGGTAAATCTGAAAAATCCGAGTTTTTTAAAATATTTCAAAAAACAAAAAAAAATTCAGGGATTTCTAAACGCTATCTTCTTAGACCTCGGATTGCGCAACTAATCTCCTATATAACCACATTTGTATTTCAACCCTTTCTAGAATACCCATAGTAGCCCTCCTTGTCTCGGACGCAGTTCATATATCTGTTGGATCTTTTCAGGAAACAGATTCAAACATACTTCGTTAGCAGTTTGTAGAGTATTTGGTGAACCCCCCCCCAGCCATTTTCTAAAGTTTAACTTCGCATCACTAAAGGCATGCGTATGCAAAATCTGAGACCAATTGGTTGTCGTATGTAAAAGTTATGCATGTTTTACTTTCAAAAACAGCATCTCAGGAAATAATTCGTAGGGGGGCTTTTAGACAGCGAAATTTGATGGCCGTCTGGCACACCTTCAAGGTATAGGGTACCTACTGCAAAATTCCAGGACTCTAGGACCATTCCCCTAGAAGTAGTTCAAAACAGCAGAAGTGGATCCGGACGGACGGACAAAACGCAAACAAAAGCACATTTTTTTAATTCTTAAAAAATGCGCTAAAAATTCTGATAGAATACTGTCTAAATATGAAGACTCACTTTACCTGTTAAACAATCGACTATTATATCTGCATTGTATTATACCAGAAAAATTGGTACAAAATGAGTAATGTGACCAACTTTCCATGTTAAAAAATCGGGACACTGCGCACCCCCCCCCCCCCCCCACTTGCTTCACCATTTTCAAATTAAAAACTCACGTGAAGTTAAAAAATATTTATATTATTAAAGAGACAAGAGACATGCATACATAGTAATATCATTGAAAGTATTTAAACAATGGTAGGTATTAAAAAACAAAACGTTAATTTAATTATCTTTAATTTTAAATGAATACTTTTTTTCAGAACTGATGGCATTCAATGTATTGTCATTAGTGAGTAATAATGAATGAAATTCATTACAAGTAATCGAGTAATCGCTTTGCTCGTTGGCGTTGGCCGTTGTCTCGTTTACATGAATTTGGGTAACACTACTGCAAAAGCGAAAAGCGGGACTCGCGGGACGAATTGGTTTAATTCCGGGACATATTTGTTAATTTTTTGAATGCGGGATTGCCTTTGCCATTACGGGACTGTCCCGCTGAATACGGGACGGTTGGCCGCCTTAAAAATGAGCACAAAATTAAAACAAAACATTTTGATTTTGGCAATGCTGACAATGCTGTACAGGTACATTTACCACTTTACGTATACCTCCAAATGAGCATCAAGTGCTAAATTGTCAATTCCCTCAGATTAGTCAGATTGAAGAGTTTTATTCGGAAAGATTGTAGGTAGGTTAGTAGCAGTTGGCCCTATACTTGATTAAAGTGAATGATGTAGTAATTGACAAAGCATTCAACCAGATAATTTCTACATAAAGCATTTGTGTCGCCACAAGATGCTCTATTTTCGCTTTAAACATAAAAACAGACACGTATGGGGGATTTTTTTACCCACAAAAAATCGCAGCTGCAATGATTGACAACTGGCTAATTAAATTTTAAACTAATGCTATTTAAAGTAACGCGTCCACTAAATAAGTTACGAATTTGCAATGAGGTACTTTTAATTTCCTGTCCGAAATTATTCCCGCATAGGTATTCAGCCTTGATTTTTATAACTGCCTTTTATCCATTATGTTGTGAAAGATTCTTTGTATAATATTATACAATGCGCTACCTATTAAAGCAACACCTGTCTGAAAACTTCAGGTAATCGTGACTTTTGATCTGCCAAGTCTCATATAAGCAAAAAATTGGAATACGCCACTACTGACTACTGTATTATTACACCCTACACATGAAAGCTGTATATAAGGGTAACCTGATGATAAGCAGAGGGGTTGCGTACTACTACTACAGGAAGGGTGGTAAGAAAAAAATTGGAACCCTTATTACTGCTTCGTAGTACAAACGAGAGTGTTGCAGACTGAGTGGTGCTTGCATTCAGTAAAGCTGTCTTAAATTTGGTAGGGGAAAAAGGACAGAATTTCAGGATGTAAACAAAACTTTGCGCGTTAGTTGGTGGCGCAGCTTGAAGCAATCGAGCAGGATTTGAATTTTGTAGCGCGATGCGCGAACGTTACCCTTCTAGTGTTCCTAATACGTTTGATGTACATAGTAGGTGTTTTAACTAATTAAAATCACGTGCTATTTAGTGAGAAGTTTAAGTTTAGGAGCTGTGGACAATAACTTTGTGTACATATCAAACGACAACGAAAGGTAGGTCAAACTCACCCATTTCGACTGTTCATACTTTGGAAATCGCTCAAAGCTTTCGTATCAATAATTATTTGAATTGGACGTGATTGCATCTGATTTATTTGCTGGTATCAAGGGAACAAATAATCATTTCATAAGGAAATTCGGCGCATCCTTTACATGTTTGCTACCACGCAGCATCCAGAATCATTGATTGAATCCCTACTGCCCTTGTAAGGTTGCCTTGCATTGTTCATAAACCTCAATTCTACACGTACTTACGGGAGAGATGTTTGTTGGTGTACTACTGACTGAAAGGCATTGCTAAACGACACAGTTTTATAGAATACAAATTCTCCCACGTTGAATGAACGAATGAATGAAGGCGCTCAATTAATTTCCACCGCAGGTATTTTTGAATAAAAACAAAAAGTAAAAGCGGAAATCGTTTACGCTGACATAATTCAGGATGTTAACTATACCGTAAATAGCCAAATTTAATTTGTAAGGGGAATTTATTACAGTTTTGCATAAATTAATACTAAATAGGGTTGTTTATATTAATCGTGCAATGAATTAGTCGCACGTAACGTGTATGAGGATGTTACATGCTCGCTCAGTACAAATTAACATAGTTTTTAATTGAATCAATTAATTCAAGGTAGTAATAATAGAGCGTGGTGTTTAATTATAGTACAAACCTTAAATAAAAAAAATTCAATTGGGATTATTAATAGGTGCCGTATTAATTTCATTCAAATTGGCATGCGCCTGATTTTGAAAGAGATTACCTCGGAGATTACTTTGTTGGAGCGCTAGGCGTTTTTTAGGTACAATCTATCACGACAAATGAGATGAAAAATAAGGAGTTAATTAATTTAATCTTCGGAGGGCAACCCGATAGGATTGAGAAATCCCTTTTTCATTAGTTGGTTGTACTAAGATTTAGGTTTTCTTCGTCTAGTCGCACATAAAACATTCAAACTAACAGGAATTTTATATTCATACTAGATCATCCCCCGCTATTCGCCGATATATAGGATATACGGAAACCCAGCGAACAGAATGTAAAAATCGGCATAAAAAAATGTAAACAAAATCCTTCCAGTCATTTATGTTGTCACAAAGATTTATATTTTTACTCAATTATAAATTCTAGATTTACAGCGAAAATGAATAAACAAAAATGTATACAGGGTGGCGCAACTGATACGAGACAAAGATAAATGTCGCGTACATAAACAGTTATAAAAAGACCACGAAAAAGAGGAGCAAAATTTATTTAAAACGTTAATAAAAAATTATGTGCTCCTGATTACTGATACCACTTTTCTTTTATAAATGTATAATTGACATCTTTTTTCGAGTCATTTACCTATCCGTTTGCTTCAAATTTGCATGCCACAAGCTACTGGATCAAGATCACAGAAACTCAAAAAAACTGCAACATTATTGAAAAGCATACATTTCTTTTTCAAATATTAAAAACTTTGTGCTAGGATCAGAGAAATGCAAGTTGTAGTATTTACTGATACTCCTGATACAAATTTCTTTATTAGTTTATTTAATTTTCTTAATTCTTCGGAGTTTCAGCGAAGGCTGCCCGATCAACCCAACCCACTATACATTTACAAATATTTTATTATATTCTTTTCTTTCCTTTTCTTTTCTTTTCTCTTCTTTTCCTTCTAGACGTCCGGCTCCTGTCACAATGAAAAATCTCAATCACTCTAAAATAACAGTTTGGAGACTCAGTAGCCTCGATCAACTTCCGAAAATTCCAAACAATTAACTGCACAAATGTGCTCTAACACCTGACATACCTCTTGGACACAACAAAAATCTGACATGAAAGCTAGAGCATTCGGGTCGCGCGATGGATTCGAAATTATTCCGAAACATATGAAACAATTGAAATAAAATCCCTGAATGAAAGAAAAGCTTACAAAGCTTGTTTGGACATACTACCCCGCACGCAGGCTGCGATAATTAAAAATAAACAAAATCTTGAATTACTTACAGATTTTTTTCGATAATCTCATGGTGGGGCCGCGGAACTCGAAGCCTTGTTTTTACATTGTCTTCAGTATTTAACGAAACACCACTTCCACTACACCAAAATCTTCTTCAACCATTTTTCAAAAACATCCCCAATCACAATTATATTTGATTACGTCGAAGGAACACTTACGCCGAACGCGTTTAACGCGCATATCGTAACGTCTGCATTTCCGTTATCTCTTAACAGCGATAAAACACGTGCGTTAATTAAATTTCGTTGATAATAAAACTTCTTATTGCAAAAGATCAGATATGTCTTATATTTCACGTTTTACAGTTAAATACATAAATCTAAACAAACAATTAACAAAAGCGATAAAATTTAAACAAGAATTACTCAATTACGAGGTAATTCCAAAAGGAAAAACAACACTGAGACACAAATTCAAATATAATTAACCAGCTTATTTCCTAAATAATTATTTAACAAAAGGAAAACTTCTCATATACAGGATGTCCCGTCATTATTTCTGGTGCTTAGACCGAAATAACGTCGACATGACGTTATTTACACAACAGTATAATGTATGATGTACTCGTAACATAGAAACGCCCGTACCGTTTGTCACAATAAGTGATTAACCACCCCTCAATCGTGCTAATTAAAACGAATTTTCAACTGCAAAAACTCAATTTTTTATCCAAAGACACTAGTTGAATGATGGCTAGCTTTAGAAATAATATTCGCTTCTTATTGGAAATTTTTGAATTTTCTTTTTGATCGTAAAAATTAAAATTAGGATTTTCTTTTGATTTAATTGATTGTAGGCAGGAAATGCAAAATTAAAGTTAAATTTTGATGAAATAATGTAGATCCAAATTCCACATTTTCATTTTTTTACTTATTTCAATATTTGTTGTGTTTACGATGGACATTTGCAGTTAAGTTATTGTGGCCAAGTTGCTTTCTAACTACCCTTATTTAAATTTCAACCAACAATAAAAATTATGGCAATTTTTCACAAAGAATGCACACCTTATGGCTAACAAACTTGAAGCCATTTACATGGAAATTCTCATTGAAACTGACTAAACTCACCTTAAATGGAAAAGAAAACCAGATTCTTGCGAAATGGGTTCGTGCGTAATAATTTTACGGAATACAGGGCGGCTCCAGTTAGCGAATTTATACAGATCGATACCTTTAATCAATCATTTTGTATAAATTAAGAAAAATTACAGTACCTCCCAGTACCTAATCTGGTATTTCACTTATTGTAGTAACGCTTTAAATTGCCCGATGGCTTACATGATGTTCTCGTGGTCCAAAATCAAAGTTCTCCAACGCTATACCGAAAAAACTTATTTTTGGACCATGTACTTGACGGTCTGGCGGCCCAAAACCGAATGCTCTAATTATGTTCACCCTGGATTACTTCATTTTTTAATTTAAATTTACAAAACCACCCACAAAATGGCACTGAGTAATTAAATCGGCCTTCTTTAATAATAAACGAATGGATGATATCATCCTGTGTAATCCTGACTGGGCTGTATTAGGCAAAGCCCATTAAGATTGTATTATCGCTTGATAACACCCGACAGGATGTCGCCAGTAACTTTCCTAAGCTATTAACCAGTGGAAACTAGTGGCCCATAAAATAATGCTACGCGCCATGCTGGGTACCATATGTTTGTTCTGCACTTCAACTTGCTGCTTTTCTTCTTTACTTCGACAACTTCCTCAACTTGTACTTCAACTTTGTTGTATAGGATCTTCAAACTGCTATTTATTTAACTTCAATTTCTTGGTGCTTAACTTCAACTGTGACCGCTTCTTGTTTGTTTATAATTCTCAACTTCTACTTTGTGAGATCTTTGAACTTATTCAACATCTTGGTTCGGTTTCTCTTCTAACTGCAACTTATTTTCTTCCTCAGATCCATTTACCGTTACTTCATTTTCATCTATTGTTTTCTCTTTTACATATTTCTTTTACCTTTTCATATTCTTCTTCTATCTCATCAGGTTCCTTTTTTCTGTCTTCTAATTTACTATCTTTACTATTAGTTTCTTGCACTTCTTTCTCCACCTGGTTCAAGTTCCGGTCCACCGTCTTTACTCGTCCTTGCATACGATCTAGATCTTATTTCATCCTTCAATTCCGTATCTCATCAAATCGCTTAATTCTTGTCGTGTCAATTTTATTATTCAATTTCTGATGCTGCGAATCCATTTTTTCATTCATGTCTCTTATTATGTCACTCAATTCCTGATTTGCCTCACGGTTTGGGCGCCAAATAACTAATGCATTAAAACAACATTTCTGAAATAAAGAGAAGCTTGTTTTTACACAGTACCCCGTACACAGACCGTCGAAAGAAAATCTGAAAATTACTTAGTTTTTTCTTTTACTAATAAATGAACTGGGGTGTTGAATCCGATGATAAAAAATTGTGGGCGGCTGCTCGAACGGTATAACTTTTAATTTAAAAAAACAAGAGAATCTCAATAGAAGGTCTCCCTTTACTTCAACTTGACTAATTTTTTCCGCCAAACGGACAACACGCTTTAAACTCTGCACAACCTCTAAACAACTTCAATAAGGGGTATTATTATTGAGAACTACCTATTATTAATAAATTTTTCTTTTAGGCGATCGATTTCGACTTTATTGTCATCTTCAGGCCGTAGCGTCAAAGTTAAAATATAATAGAAAGTGGATAAATGGTGGTAGAAATTTTTTGTGAAAAGATTACAACCACAACATGGTCAACCGCCCCATCTACATCCACATCTTTTCACAAAAAAAAAATTTCTTATGTTACCACCATTCATCCACTTTCTATTATATTTTAACTTTGACGCTACGGCCTGAATATGACAATAAAGTCGAAATCGATGGCCTAAAAGAAAAATTTATTAATAATAGGTAGTTCTCAATAATACCCTTCATTAATGACCTATTAACAATGGAGTCATACATCAAGCAACTTCAATAAACTTTCTTCTATATTATG